ATGCATCTGATCGGTTCCGTGGCTCTGTTCGTACCGTCAAACCAATCAGCCTCATTAAAAAAACTAGATTTAAGAGCTTGAAGGTTCTTGAAGTCAGGAGTAATATTCTGTTGGCAATAGCTGGTCGCAACGATCATCTAAGAGGTGCGTATTTAATCAAAGCTCACTATCAAAAAGTAGTTCTTTGACACGTTCATATCCGCTCTCCTTTTTTTTTGTCATGACAACCTCAAGTTTATGCACTTGACGGGATCAGAGCAATCATAGCAAAAAAAATTCAAGACCTTGAAGAAAAGGAGGATTTTGTTTGGCTTCCAAAGTCACTAGCACGAGCCACCCCACACAAGGGCAAAGAACGCGTCTCCAATGCTCAAGCTCAACCAACTGTCACTAACTCTCCGCAATATTCCCCGCCCCCACCGTATGGTGGTAAATTGGGACCTAGTCAATCGATGACCAAATCAAATTCATTTCAGCCCACCACTGCCGTTAACGAACCAATTGAGGTACCTCGATCAACAGTCAAATCAAACCTTCGCCGTAGTAGCACCGTCGGCAGTCGGCTTCCCAGTAGCTCATCCGCTTTTCGACTAACTGATACTCGTCGAAGCAGTTTGCATAGTGCCTCTGATTCATCCTCTTTCATCTCTCCCCTTGGCCTCGCTGGCTCATCACTCACCGCAGCCCTCCAATCCCTCAGGACCGCCGGAGATTCGGATCAGATTCCTGCGGCTCTCGGCCGAGGTCCCCTGCAAGTCGGTCTAGAGCATGAGATCGAAGAAAATTACTCTTTGCAACCCGAATCCCGTCCCTTAATTGATAACGGTGATGAGCTGGCTCGTGGATCTAACGTACAGCCGGTTGTTGCAAACAATGGTCAAGCTGCTGAAACGGGTACTGCCTTGGTCGAGGTCATCAAGAATCGCTCCCAATTGCTCGTCCAAGCTGGTAAACGGATCTCAAATCCCACCTTACCAATTCAACCCATCCCCAGCTCGCGTATGGTCCCCCGGTCTGCCTTGGCAACAGATACTGACAACGAGTCCATGTATGGCAGTCAGGTTAACCTGGTCGACGTTTTGTCTCAAAATTCAGGCGCTCTTCCAATCAACGCTTCGGGTCTTAGTAGCAGATCGCGTACCTCAATGGGAGAGGCTTCATCATTATTCTCAACAAAAAATACCACTGCTGAGCCCAAATCTGTTCCTGGACCTCCACCATTGATAACGACCTCGACGAGTGATGTACATCCACAGATCAACATCACTGATGAGATCACCGAAGTCCAACCAACCCCAAGTGCTGGATCGAGTTCCCTTGTAAGACCTGGTCTCAATCCGGTGGCAGACGAGAGTCAAAGAGCAGTGTCAGGCATGACATCCCACAGTTCCCCATCCCCTCTACCGCACAGGGCCTCTTCCCGGGTCCCATCGACCGTCGTCCATTCAGATCAGGAAAACCAACCTAGTAGTCTCACTGTCCCCAGTCGATCAAAAAAACGCTGGTCAGTCATGGACTCCGTCTTCCGGACACACTCCAGCAGCAGCAACTCTCACGCCAATAATCACCTCACATCGACCTCCACTTCTGCCGCCCTACCTTCGAGGTCTAGTACCGACGAGTCTCTCGTGCGCAGCGCGTCTTGTAATCACATATCTGGAATGCCCATCGCTGACGCTGCTAATGGTCAACACACTCCGTGGGTTACCTTTCACACAGAGGCTGGCTATGATGCCGCATGAGGCAAATACTGATTCCTTTTTTCTTAACTGATGGCGGTACACAAAATAATTATAGTACTCTGAGGTCGCGACTATCGATGCAAAAACTACGGATAAACGTATCAGAGTCGAACGGGGAATTTGGGGCGATAGGCGCGAGCTCCCTATCAATGGGCGGTGCGAGTGCGCCAGCTGGAGCAAGTGCTGCTGGAGCTGTCGGAGGAGGTGTGCCGGGATCTCAGAGCGAGTTTCAAGACCAACCTCGTGAACGATTGGCCACCCATCTCCACGGACAAAGTGCGGCCGAAAGCGCCAAGACTTCCCCCCACCCTGCTACCCTCGGCGCCCCCCTCGAATATGTCAAACTAGCTCGCACTAAACGCGCGAAATTGTTGAGGGCTTATGAGACTCGTCGTCGCACGTTCGTCTCCTTTTCTCTCTTGATCCCTTGTTCAGCTTTTCTTAGCCCCTTGCTTTTTTCTTTTCCTTCCAGGTATTTAGCCGTACTTTGTGGCGAAGCTAGTGAAAGGATTGAACTGTTCACTGTACGTCTTCACTTTTACCCGCACTTTCGTCATTCATTCATCCCGCCTCGCCTTATTCCCCTATCTCTTTTTATGTGTGTCTCTAGGGCTCGAAGAATATATCTTTGTCTCTAAATCGTACTTTTGTTTTGCCTGAGACACCTAGAACGTGAGCTTTTCTTTTTCGGTTACTCGCATTTTCCTCGTAATCTGCTGTTTGATCCTAGATGTCTTTTTTTAGGATCGAATTCCAGATGCAAGGAGATGATTTAGTTGACATTGTAAGCATTTTGTTGGTTTCAAGTATGATCGGGTCATGAAACTCAAACAAAAAAAAACCGTTTAGTATTTGGTTTATGATGAGAGTGTCTTTGCACTCGAGCCAGCTACCGTACGTGTTCGAGAAGTTGGTATTGGAAGAAATGAACGTCGGGCAGCAAGGAGAGAACGAGAGCGGGCGGCGCGGGATCTAGCATCGATCAACATGCGTCCCTCCGTCACCGCCGGTGGATCTCACAGCTCTGCGGGGGTGAATCCGGCTGGAGGGTATATGACAGATCCAACGGAGTCCATGATCCAGGCGGTCGGACTACCTGCACAAGCCACAGTATCCAGCTCGCCATCAACAACAGTGGATGACGGTCTCACTTTGTCTGCCCCAGTCCCCCCTTCCTCCTTCCGACATGCTTCGGCAGCCAACGCCGCCAGTATTGTTACTGGCTGGGGCACTCATGACGGAGGTACTGGTAACCCTTCTGGTCCGGCCAAGGTACCCAACTTGTGGCCTTACACCACCTTTCAGCAGCTCCAATTCATCCCCCCCTTGCCGCCCTCGGTCCTTGCTTCCACCTTTGTCATTCCACCTACTTACGAGGCTGTGGTGATGGCCAGTGGCGGGCCAAGGGCAGTTCAAAACTCACTGGCACCACCCGATGAAGACCCAGCGAGGTCTTTATTGCCTATTAACGTCGTCGAACCCGAGTTAGGAGACCACACGATCCCTCTAAACCTTGCGGTCGATCGACTCAGGATTAATAATGGCAGTAGTAGCATTGTCGGTGAGGCTGGATCTGAGGCTGGGTCGAGCATTGGTATTGGAAACTCCACTGGCTCAGCTAGAGCCAGTAACCTCAACCTTGCCGATGGCTCGGAGGCCGAAATGGATTTCTCATCAGATATTGGCGAAGCGACTCTCACAAATGATACGGTGAGGGAAAGCCAAATGATCAGCCCGAGGCCACAGACGATCCTGGCCGATGGTCCATTACTGTCGCCAATCAGTTTATTATCGAATCCGGCGAGTCGACAGATTGGCCCACCGGGCTTGTTCCTGGTGACTAGAGGCAAGAAGGTGACGTCGATAGTGGACTGTGATGGACGGAGTGTGATGAAGAAGCCGTTTATTTGGATGAATGATAAGAAATCACGGCCGAGCACGAACGGGGCGGAGAATGGCCAACTCGCGGGAGGGTTCCGGATCGAGGTAGTGCTGATCGATGAGCGTCGGACGGTGTTGGTCGGGCTGGACCATTTGGAGGTGAAGCTATTCGAGGTGGGCGGCCGGCAGGCGAAGGGCCTGGAGGAGTTCAGCAATTCCGCGACACTCGACATCTTCCCGCAGCTGATCCTAGGCGCCACGGGTGGCCCAACAAACCAGGTGACGGCCGTCGGCGGAGGCAATGGGGTGGGGGTGATCACCGCGAAAAGCTTCTCATCATCCCCCAGTCTCAGCTACCGCGAGCACCACCATTCGACTCTCAATTTGAGTAGCCTGACCAACCTGACCATCGGCCTCAGCAAATGGAACGACAGCCCATCGTCTTCCAACTACCACCACCACCACAGCAACAACAACAGCGGCGGCGGTGGCGGTGGGAACGGTAGCAATATCTCGTTGCCTGGCTCGGCCGCCCCAGGCTCCAGCCAGTTATCTGCGACCCCCAACCATGGTGCCAATGGTATTCCGCTTCCTCCCACCGATCGAGAGGTGATCTTCCTCGGCTCTAGCATCCCTAGAAACGCTGTGATCTGGGCCGAACGAATCGGGAACTCGTTTGCCATCTATTCCTTATCCTCCGCCTCTAACCCCCCGCCTCTCCATCTTCCCTCTCACCCTTCTTCTTCCTCTCCCTTCGCCCCGCCTACCTCCCCTTCCCTCGCCATCTTACCCCCTCCTGCCTCTTCTGCCCCTTGATCCTCCTTGTTTGTATCAAATCTTCTCTCCCGTCGCCTCCCTCCTCCTTGTGTTTTTTTTGGTGGTTTGTAAACTTCTTTTTTTTGTCTTTTCCATAGATTTCTTTACTTACGTTCTTATTCCTTTAGTTCTTTCTGGCTTTCATCACATCTTCTCTTTTTTTTTAAAAACAAAAGAAACAAATCAACAAAAAAAATATACTGATGTTCTCTTATATATCTCTTCCAATCCTGTTTCTTTTTCTTCCGTACAAAATTTGTTTTTCTTTCTTTCTGATGCTTTAGATGTTCGCATATTGTGTCTGCCTGTGTGTGTAGATAAGAGCAAGCTACATAGTCTCAATAATAAGTATGAGAAGAGATTGACAGCTTTATTCGTGTTGCATTTCTCCTGCTTGTTTCATCATGGTGTCGGATAATAAGGCTCAATAAACTTTTTTTTTCTGGTTGGGCGTGGCTGGAGGATGTGAGAACAGGTCTGGTCGCGTTGTCAAAAATGAAAAAAGGGGATGTGAAAGGAAAGACAATTTTTGGATTGTGGGTCCGATCTTAACCGTATAAGCCTGTCATCGTCTAGTGGTTAGGACACCAGGTTTTGAGATTGTCCACGTGCTATCTTGTGATCCAGAGGGTTCCCTGGGGAAGGCTACCACCCTGGCAGTTCGTGAGAATCTCCTGGTAACTTGGGTTCGACTCCCAATGACAGGTTTTTTTATTGGGCGTCCGCTGGATATATATACTGTGTTGAGGAGTATCAATCATCATTAGCATACACCAGAATATGTACTGGGATTATATGCTTGAATCTCCCGAAATTCAACTGGAATGCTGGCAAGCTCTTTTTTCCTCACTCAATTATATTCCACTGTCATCTGAGGTAAGTCTTGTTTTCTTATGTTTTTCTCATCACTTCTCTCATTCTAGTTTTTTTTTGCTGTCTTCATTATTGTTTTGTTCTTTTATTCATCTCTACACTTTTTTTGCATTACTCTGAAATTGACACTTGATTATATTCTGCTGTCATCCCAGAGGTGTGCCACCATAACATATCCCACACCCTGTGTGTCTGTAAGGCTGCATGAGGTGGGATGTAAAGAACATGCGTAACTTCAGGATGCTGATCAGGGTTTGGGAGTTTGCAAGTTTCACAGGGGAATGTTATTTTTCCTGGATAATCAATTTTTAAAGAGAAAGAAAGTTATTGAATTTGCAGGGAAAATAGTTTGAAAGTGTAAGCAAAATAAATCACAGAGCGGGAAAATACACAATAGAAGAGCTATTCCCATTTCCATACTTTACCATTACTCATCCACCCCTTGTTAGGGCTGAACAAACACATTACTATTATCTTTGCTGGTTCTGCTTAGTTAAACCTATTCTGTTAGAAAATGGCTTGGGGTCAATAAAAGGAAGAAGCAGAGAGGTATGGAAGACAGGATGCAAGCGAGAAAGATTGGATGGGAGTATCAAAAAATAAGTGTCCTTTCCCAGAGGTGTGTCCACTCAAAAAGGACCTAGCCATTTGAAGTCCAGTTTTCTGGAAGGTCTGTTGGAAACAATGTTTCTCCACAAAAGCCAGACCCAAGCGCCTGCCTGGTATTGAGGAGCTTCACAAGTGTGTTTGTCAAAATAGGAACGTTGCACCTCCTTTGCCTGTGTCAGATTATCTTGCAGAGTCGCTTGAACCTGTATGAGCTTGGACAAAAATTGATCTGCGGCCAAAACCAGAGATCCAGTATTCAGCATATTGACTTGAGGATGAAACAAAAATTGAGCAAAGAACAGAGAAAAGCCCATGGAAGTGGAAGAGGAGTTGTTAAAAACTAATTCAGCTATTGGCAGGAGATGGAACCAATCATCCTGACGATCAAAAACAAAATGTCAAAGGTAAATCTCAACCATTTGATTTTTCCGTTCTGTCTGAATGTCTGTCCAAGGGTGCCAAGCAGTGGAAGGAGCAGGCTTGATGTGCAGGAGCTTCTGGACTGCCTTCCAAAATTTGGAGATGAAGAATGACCCTCAATCCAACACAATCTTGTTGGGGAGGCAATGTGACTGTATGAAGCAATCAAAGAATGTGAACACAAATTCTTCAGCGTCCCATGATTCATTAGCAGAAATTAAATGTACCCCCTGTGAAAAATGGTCCATGATTACCAGAATAGAGTCAAACCCTGCAGATTCTGGTAACTTCACTACAAAATCAAAACCAATCATGGACCACAGACAATCAGGAACCGGAAGTGTATTCATCAAACCGGAGGGTTTCTGATTTGAATGCTTGGCCCTTTGGCAAGAGAAACAGGATTTGGTGTAATTCAACACATCTTTCCTGATCCCCGGCCAATACATTGTTTGGCTTACTAATTCCAACTTCTTGAGAGACCCTAGGTGACCCGCTAGAACATCATCATGATAATCCTTTATCATTTGAGAAAAAAGCTTTTCAGGGACAAAACGATGATCTTGATACCACCACAGATCACCTCTCTGACTGAGCAGTTCATCCTCAGGATCAGGAGGATCAACTTCATATGCTTTTCAAAGCAGAGAAGTCAAACTACTTGAAGGAGGGCAGAAGGAAAGATCCTGCTCATCAGCAGCGTTTGGTTCTTGATCATCAAGAGGCGTAGCATCAGGAGAAGTTACTTCCCCGACATCCACCCAGGGATCCACGTCATCCAAGGAGGAATTGGCCACAGTAAAGCCTCCCTCAATCTCAATCAACAACATCCTTCCCAAGGTATCTTCCCCGCCCCCTGGCAGGTGCGTGAAAGGATCAGCTGGATTGAGCCTCCCCAGTATGTCCCTAATCACAAAATTGAAAGAAGACAGAAAAGACGCCCAGTGTGCTTGTCTTTCTGATAAGTATTGACTTGTACCAAAATATCTCAAATTAGTATGATCCGACATCACCGTTACTTGTTCTTGGGTGTCAATCAACCAAGCTCTCCATTCTACAAATGCTTGAACTATTTCACCGAGCTCCTGATTGTGACACTGCCAGGACAACTCCTTTGAATTCCATTTATTTGAGAGAAAAGAGACCAGATGAAGACATCACTGAGCATCAGGCTGAGAAAGAACTGCCGACAAAGCACATTTAGAACAATCAACGTGTAGTGTCCGTGGCTTGGCAAAATCAAAATGTAAGAGTAAAGAGGCCCTTTTGAAACTATCTTTGAAAATATGAAAGTCTTTGAGACACTAATCCAATTTGAGACCTCCCAATACATCGACACCCTCCTTGGTCAGAGAAGTCAGCGGAGCCGCAATGGAAGAAAACCGGGCTATAAATCTCCTGTAAAAATTTAGAAACCCCAAGAAACTATTCAACTCTTGGAGGTTCTGCAGAAAGGAACAATCCATAACAGAACTCAGTTTGTCATCTTCCATTTTGATACCCTCAGCCAATATTTGAAAACCTAAAAAGGTAACTTCATCAGTATAAAATAAACATTTCTCAGGTGAAGCAAAGAGAGAATTCTCTTGTAGCTTTTCCAAAACCTGTATCACATGTCGCTCGTGTTCTTTGCAGGTCTTAGAAAATCAAGATATTGTCAATGTAGAAAAAGCAAGAAATTTTCAGTAATTCACGTAAAACAAACTGGATGAAACACTGAAAACACGCTGGAGAATTGGCTAAGCCAAACGGCATCACCAGATACTCATACAGACCCCAGGGTGTTCAAAATGCCCTCTTCCACTCATCACCCTCCGCAACCCGCAATAAGTTAAACACAGATTTTAATTCAATCTTAGTAAAAAAACTTACACCCCTGCAAGTGAGTTAACAGTTGCCCCAGGATCGGGATGGGGTAGCTATTGCAGTGATGGCATTCAGACCGCGGTAATCCACCCACAGCCGGGGTTTCTTACCAGGGACTCTGACAAAATAATGGGAGCAGTGGCACTCAAAGATGAGAGGCGGATAAATCCTTTTTTCAAGTTTTTGTTGATATAGCATTTCAACTGGTTCTGTTCTTCTAGAGACAAATTTTACAGCCCCCCAAAAGGGGGAACAGCTCCTTCCTTGATATTTATGGAAATATCCATAGATCTATGGGGAGGGATCACACAATTTGTCTACGGAGAGAAGACATTAGTGAAACAATCAAACTCTGACAGGAGGAGAAAGGTAGAAGGAGAAGATACATGAGCAGAGAACACAGCAGCACCTTCAGGCTTCCCTCCCCGTTGTGATGACTCAATCACAAACAGAGGAGTTGACCCAAGGGTGAACTGGTGCCCCCCTTTCAAGCTACCTGACACCAACCAACCCTGCCTGTTCAACCAGGGAAGGCCAAAAATTTCATTGACCGATCCAAGCCGAGTAACACCAAATGAAATTTGAAGCGGGAAAGGCCAAGATTCAAGATTTGACAGCTGAATTTTCCCAGACTAGTCCTGAGTGGCGCACCCACCAACACCCTCACGACCATCAAAACCCATGCAGCGGATCAGGGAGCGGAATTGATGAAGAGGGAGGTCGCACAAAAGACTCATTTGACAAAATTAGCCATGGCTCCCGTATTAACAAAAATTGTTGCCGGAATCAGGACACCCCCCAACTTTCTAAAAGACAACAGAACCAAAATGTGCCCGCCTACCAAACAATCCAATCAAATGTGCACAGTGCTGATAGGGAATTCCACTGTCGCACATGCAGATTTGTTGTCATCCTTGAAAGGCTCATAGTAACCAAACAAGTCCAAGACATCCCCCCAAACGCCGGAGGGAGAAAGCCAAAGAGGATTGGGGAAAAGGAGAAGCAGGACGGGCAGTAGATATTTCAGAGGAGGGACCAAGGATGTGGCCACCTGAACTTCAGATGCCACTGCTGGGGGAGAGGGGCGACTCCAATCAACAAATGCTTAGAAGAGACTGGAGCATTTGGACAATTAAGAAATCCTGAGTGTACACCTGGTACAATGGGTGAAAAACACCGGAAACACAAGTTCCAAGCTCAACACAGTGCGCAAGAAGCGTCCAGAAGGGAGCGGGTGACAGGGACCAACCAAGCGGTGTCTATCTCCATTGCGTCAGGATTGCGAGGCGGACGGAGAGGGGGAGGAGGATTGAAGATGTTGATTCGAGGAAAGGGGGTGATGATGACTGGAAGAAGATTTGGGAGGGAGGAGGGCAAGGAGTTCAAGCTGGGCAGCCACTTCAGACGCCAAGGCCATCCTAGAGTCCAAAGTCTTTTCCACCATCCATTCTTTGCCCATAGCCTGGTGGATGATTCTGGGATTCAGAACCAAAATTTACTTCTCAATACAAGTATCTTCAACATCCTTGACTAAGTGAACAAGGGATTAGAATTGTGGATTTTACTCCCTGATCGTTGATTTCCCTTGTTTGCACGCCACCAAAGCGCGTTTCAAATTCTCCTTCATGAACTTATCACCAAAAATTTTGATGAGCCCATTCAGGAATGCGGGGACTAACATCAGAGTGGGGTGAGAGAAAGTCTTTCCGTCCAAATTGGTGTTGTGGAAAGAAAAACTGTCTCAGTAGGTAACTGAGTGTCCTTCTCCAATGTGTGTCGAGTACCCTTTGGTTT